AACCCGCCACCTTAGGTGTATGTGGCTGGCGCCTTAGCCGCTTGAGCCACAGGCGCCAAGCCCAGACTACTTTTTATTAAAATAAACTAAGTATATAAAGTTGCTTCACAGTTTTAATTCTGTCAAGGCCTACTGATAATTTTTCTTTCTTGGGTCTTTGCCAAACACATTATCTATTATTTATTACTTGACAGAGAACCTCCAATTACCTCAAATTACCATGGTAATTTAAGACCTGGATCCCTGACATACATCTCTTCACAGCACTAAGCTTAACTAACACCTTGCTCAGGGAAAGCACTTAATACTAGCAAACATTTACTGAACACCTATGTGTCAGACATCGTTAAGCAATGGATAAATATTTATTGACCAAATACACCCTTCTCTAATCTCATTACCCCTACACTAGTACATTTCTGTCATATTACTCTACTCTTGGAAATATCTTTATAGTATGATAGCACTCTAAAATGTAAACCCCACAGGGCTGAAAGTCCTGTTGAGGCAAGGTTCTAGGGTTCCAATTCTGCCATTATATTACTTAAGTAAACTATTTAATCTCTTAAGGCCTCTGTTTTTTCATCTAATGAGGGTCTGTACTATACTAGATGATTTACAATGTTTCTTCAAGGATGTATGCTGATTGGTAAATAATACTGATTAATTATATAACCCCATCTCTTCATCAAAGTTCACAATTCCCACTCAACTTCTAAGATGTAAGAATAATCTTATATGTAATTGTAATTTAATTTGTAATAAGGTGTGAACAAAGATGAGGCTCATCCAAACACAAAGACGTGTTTGTATTTCAAAAGAAGATCCAAAGCATCATGTGGTTTCAACAACTCAGAATCACCCCCATGTCTCCTTAAAGGGAGGAATGTATTTTACATTAAGGATGAGGTGAAGATAGAATTACAAAACACACATGAGGCAATAATCCTGTGTCCTTTGAATGCTCTACATAAGGTCTTTCACCAAAATACCCAAAAAATTATTTTGATTGCATTTAAAATTTATAAATCCAGCCTGAAGAAGCTGATTGTAAGTTGAGGGGTCCTCATATTTGGACACATGCTACCATTTGAACACTTGGCAACTATGTATCCATGTGCAGCTCAGATATTCAGCTCCTGATACATGATACAAGAACTCATGGCCTTGCAAAATGTTATGAAGATGGATAACAAAAGAAACAAAGTTCTGCTTATTCTACTTTTAAATAAGAAACATTTGAAGAGAAATGAAAGGTTAGGTCTCTCCAGGTAGTTCCTTGAGGGCAGGACCTGTGCCTTATTTATAAATCCCTACATATCACCCGAAACACAGAATTCACTCAAAGTTCAATAAATACTTGAAACTGGCCGGGTGAGGCAGCTCACATGTATAATCCCAGCACTCTGGGAGGCTGAGACAGGTGGATTATTTGAACTAAGGAGTTCGAGACCAACCTGAGCAAGAGCTAGATCCTGTCTCAACTAAAAACAGAAAAATTGAAGCAAAAGGATCACTTAAGCCCAAGAGTTTGAGGTTGCTGTGAGCTTTGATGATGCCATGGTGACAGTGTGACACTCTGTCTCAAATATATATATATATATTTGAAATGACTTACAATCTTTCTTTATTCCCTCTTTACTTTCAAAGTACCACTTTCTTTTATTAAAGTCTGAATTCCTATTTTTAAGTATAATAGTTTATTTCTATCTCACAATGTGCCACCATGTACTAAATCAAGATTACAGGTTAGGTATGGTGGTACACGCCAGTAATGCCAACATTTTGGGAGGCCAAGGAAGAAGTATTACTTGAACCCAAGAGTTCAAGACCAGCTTGTACAATACAATGAGACCTCATCTCTACAAAAAATAGAAAAATTGGTGCAGCGCTGTGGCTCAAAGGAGTAGGGTGCCGACCCCATATGCCAGAGGTGGTGGGTTCAAGCCCAGCCCTGGCCAAAAACTGCAAAAAATAAAAATAAAAATAAAAAAATAGAACAGTTAGTCAGCCATGGAGGCAAGCACCTATAGCCCTAGCTACTTAGGAAGCTGAGGTAGGAGGATCACTTGAGCCCAGGCATTTGAGGTTGCAGTGAGCTATGATGACAGCACTGCACTCTAGTTAGGGCAACCGCAAATATTATCTCAAAAAAAAAATTATAAAACCTATCGTTTTCAGTTGTATACAATTATTAGTCTGATGCATGCCAACCCACATGTAGTCATTTATATAGGCTCAGTATAGGTTCCACATCAAAGGTGATAGGACTTACTCGGAAGAACCTTGGAGATACTACTGCATATTAGCTACCTCAAATAATCACCATCCAGTCCTTTCATTCTTGATGTAAACAGACAACCAAGAACCACCAGACAA